ACTGACTAACATTTTACAAGGATGAAAAATAACGCCTTTAGAGTTAATGTTTCTTTAAGGCTGTACAGGAACAACACCTTATCAATTTCTACGGGTTAATGTTACAGCGTTGTGAACTCTGCTTTTGTCAGTAATAGATTGTTAGTCAAATATACTGTGACCACAATTATACTCCCAAGAGTTTCAGATGAAGGTCAAATAGGCTTATTAGAAAAACTCTAGCATTATAGTTTTAAAAAGAGTAATCATCATTTTATTTTGTCTTTTTTTTTTAAATTTTGGGATGAATTTTCCTTTCAGAAACAAGCTCTTTACATGCCTTAATCAAAAGGATTTAGGTTACTTTACTCGGCTTTGAGAAGTTGGGTTTTTTTCAAAGTTTGCAACCTATTAATGGGATGGTGGGATGGAAATCAATATAGTGTATGGCAACCAGCATTTTTAAAAAATGAGATAAAATAGAATATCAGAGGATATCAAACATAATAAGGTCAAGTGTGTGTGTGTGTGTGTGTGTGTGTGTGTGTGTGTGTGTGTGTTGGGTTATAAAATGTAGTTCCTAATTTGAGTAATGGTTATAAGCTTGAAAAATACTGACTTAGATCACTTAAGACTCATCCTGGCAGCTACAAAGGGTCTCACGCAAAACACAACTGCTTGGAAACGGATGATTAAAATCAGGTTTTTGTTCTCTAGGTGGGAGCTGGGGAATGGCTGTTGGGTAGACAACTAATAGGCTGGACTACAATAGGAGATTGACCAAGTGATGCTTCATCCTGTTGTTCATCCTCAAACCCCATGAGCTAAGAAAAATGCCTTATACAACCTTGGCTACTGCATGACTAAGTGACCCACCCACCACCTGCTTCATTACTTAAAGCTCAGGATGGTCCAAATATCATAAAAGTTATTCTTTATTCCCCTTTGTGATATTAGTTGTACCCAAATATCTCTTCTCCTTCACTGACATAATAATTGAAATTTTACCTGGATACAAGGCCACCCAGCTAAGGACTACATTTCCCAGCTTCCCTGGGACAAGGTATGATCAAGTGACTAAGTGTTGGTTGTTGCACTGTGCAAGAAGTGATGTATGCAAATTAATGGTCATGCCCTTAAATGGCAGGAGTATGCCCTCCTTTTTTTCTTCCCCATTCTACTACCTGGAGCAAGGACTCTTTGAGGACCACACGGACAAAGGTAACATCTTAGGAAAGGAGGAGAAACAAAATAGGAGATCCCTGACAGGTGCTGTCATACCAGCCCCGGATTATTAAACAAATAAAAAATTAAACCTTTTGTTTGTTTGTTCATGCCTATCATTTTGAGTCCCTGTTATGACAGCCTAACCTATATCCTATCTAATACCTTCTTCTTATACATGCTTAGTAGGAAACAGTGGAAATTTGAAGGCTTAAGGTACATAGCAATTTGGCACATTTGATTTTAAGGTGTGTGGACTTTAAACCACACTCTCAGACAGTGACTGTTTACCTTCATGTCTGGACTACAATAGGAGATTGACCAAAACCCTGCAGGCTGAAGATTAGATGGAAGGTCAGAAAAACAATTCTTGACTGTGACATGTGCTACTTAGATTATATTAAACCATACAAATCATTTTTTTAAGTTAAAAAAGTCAAATATTAGCAATTTTATAATTTTAAATCTAACAGAGTTAATGCTGTATCTAACGTATATGGAGTCTTAGAATTCACAAATGACAGACTCTTCAACAATTGTCCTTTCTAAAGGGCCTAGGTCAAAAGCTGAATCCCCATGGCACTAAGCCTTTAGGTGCACACTGGGATCAAGAGTCTCCTACATGTCATTAGCCTGACTTCAGGTTGTGACCAGAGATTCTGAAAAAGTCTTGATAAATATCTGAATCTAATGGGATGACTTACAACTACCTTAAAAGAGATAAAGTGAAACCAATGAAGTAATGGCAGTTAGCCACAGTTTTTTGGAGAGATTGTAGACTTTGAGAGGAGGCAAAAGGGTCAGCTAATGGTGTAACTTAAACTTATATGAGAGAGCTACAAGATCAATCCATTTTCATGGGGTTCACTGTGTCCCATCAGAGTGCTACAGATAACAATCTCTTCCTGTCCCTCAGTCAGTATGCAGTGCAGCAGCATAGCAGGTGTCTTTTCTTTCCCACTCCATAGCTTACATGTTACAGGCCCAATGATATTATGAACACTGATCTCTCGACCTGAATTCTAAATTCCCAGGAAAGAATCTGGGAATTTAGAGTAAGATTGGCCAAATATAGCAGATGCTCCTAGTACCTTGTGCCGCATCTGCTTGGCCTATTTCTGCCTTCAGCTGCCACTGTGGACAGTTCCTGTGAGCCCTGATCATTTCCCATCTCGAAGCCCAGCCTCAGCATTTCTGCCTCAGGGATTTCCCCAAAGCCTCTGTAGCTCAGTCAGCTTGCACACAGGCTGTGGGTTGGGCATGGGGGAGTTATCACCCCCAGCAGCAACTCCCAATTTATAGAAGACAGGAGTTCGCCCTGACTTCCATCCTTTAGAGGAGCAATCCAGAGGTGCATTCCATATGATTCCACCTAGGGTTCCCAGTGGAACTGAGCTCCTATTATTATAGTGGTAACCAGCTCCATAATACTCTACTGGTTTTTCTTCCTTCCCTGTGTCCCTCCTTCTTACTCTTACTCTGGCTAGGATTACCTGCCACATGAATTCCCTGCACTTGAATCTTTGTCTCAGACTATGCTTCTGGACAAACACAAACTTGGATACCCAATATATGTCAGATGACCACTCCCAGACCGATCATCTTTGGCAGGGGCAGAAACATGGCTACCCAGAACCTATCTCAGGGCATAGGGTGGGTTAAAGGAAGCAGCTGTCAGAATTTCCCTGAAGGAGTGGCCAAAGGTGTTCCATACGCTAACTCAACGTTTGGTTGAATTTTCACATAGAGGTAGGTCAAGGTGTTTCCTACAGATAAGGTCGGAATTTTTCTTTACAAAATTGTTCTGATTACAGATGCTCTTCACCTTATGATGGGGTTATATCCTGATAAAGCCATCGTAAGTTGAAAATATCATATGCCTTTAACCTACTGAACATCAACTTAGCCTAGCTGGTTTCTACAGAACATGTATCGCTCTCACGTCATCGTAAAGTGGAAAAAATCATTAAGTCAAACCACCGTAAGTTAGTGACCTTGCGTAATTTATGATTGCTCTGGGAGTTGAATCCCATTTTTTTCCCTTTTATCCTTACAATGACATACTAGAAAGTTACTCGTTTTCAAATAGCTATCTCATATCTAACCTTCTTACTGAGCTCTCATTAACTCTAAGCTCTGTCCCAACTCTGTCAGGCCACCATCGTTTCTTGCCTGGATTATAGCAACAGCCTCCTACCTGGTTTCCCCTCTTCTAATCTCATACTTCCTCCAATCTGTTCTCCACTCTGAAGCCAGATTGACTTTCCCAAAATACAAATATGATCATATCACTCCCCTGCTTAAAGCTATCTATAGTTTCTCATTATATTTATGTCAAAATTCTCAATACTAATGTGGCCTCCACTACCTGGGGTGATTTGGCTTCTGCTGGCTCTCCAGCTTTACTTCCCTTCTAGCCTGCCTCTTATACCCTAAGGTCCTGATGCTCCAGTGATGGGCATATGGGAGGACTTTTAATATGTTGTTGAATAAAGGAAGACACGAATTAAATGGATTCTTTTGGATTTTCTGGAAGGATTGTCTAAGCCAGCTGTGTGATTTTCACTTTAGGCGGAACTGACTCCCTTCCCTCAATCATGAGAATCAGGCCTGGCCCCGTTAGAATGTCACATACTATGGCCACAGGGCCACAGGTCAGGGCTTGGCAAGTGATCTCAGTCAAGGCAATGAAGATGAAATTAGGCCTGCTTGAAGAACCAGGAAAAACGGTTTTAATTTCCAGTGGCCTTAGAGCTGTGATGATGTGAGGAAAAAAAAACACAGGGAAACAGAGGTAAAAATTGGAGGGGAAGGAGTAGAGGAAAAGTAAGAGGAGACTGTCTTTTCTTTCCCAATTGTGGCCTGGGTTATCCCTCCATTTCAGAGGATGCTGTTCAACTCTTACACTTATTCCACCTGTTTACTTGTCCCTATGGCCAAACTTCTGGGAAGATATAGTGGAACCAACCCCAGGCACGAGAGGCCAGAGATGCAGAAGAAGCAAAACGTGCTGAGACTGGAAAGTTTCAACCTGGGGCTCCCTTAAGTAAAGAAGGGCATCAATCCAGTGACTCTCATGCTTCATTCCAGAAATATTTAATAAGAACTCAGAATATTCTAGCTCCGTGTTTCTCAAAGTGCAGCACATGGATAATCTGTGTTAGAATTCTCTTGGGTGCTTTCTACTGAATCAGAAACTCCAGGGCCCAGAAATCTGCATTTAAAGTCAGCTCTGCAGGTGATTCGGATTCACACTGAATTCACACAGTTCTAGGCACTGCGCCAGGTGCTAGAGATCTAATACAAAACAAGGCAGACGTGTTTCCTGACTTCCCAGTATATTTGTGTATGTGTGTGAACATCTGTTTACAATATGATATAGGTATTATTATAGAACAAGGGAGATCACATAGCCGGTGCGCTTAGCTCAAACTGGCGATGGTCAGGGAAGTCTTAACAGAAAGGGCATCAAAGCTAAAGCTGGAGGAAGAATACACAGCTTTAGAAAGAAATCTAGACTTCAAAGAAATATGGGAGTCGTGAAAGACCCCAAACTACCCCAACCTCCTTCCTCAAGATATCATCTGTCCTCCCCTTCGCCGGCCCTATCGCCCTTCGTGGAGCTAAGCCCACACTCAAGATCGCGGAGCCGCGCACGGCCACTAGTTTACGCACAACCACCAGTTAGTCCCTAGCCTAGCCCATCGAGAATGGGAGGGGCTGGCCACTGATTGATGCCCTGCTCTCCCCGGCTGCCGGGCGACTGCGCGGGACGTGCCTGCCCTGCGCGATGACGCCAGCGCGCCCTTGCGCGCTGAGGGAGGAGTGTGAGCCGCGGGCCGGGAGGCGCAGAAGCTCCGGTAACACGGACTGGGAGGGGGAGAGGAAGGGGCGGGGCAGAGAGTCCTCCAGAGTGCGGGGTCGCGGTCCGGACCCGGAGCGGGAGCCCTAGAGATGCTCAGCGTCTCTTCTTCTCCCATCAGGCCCTGCCTGGCGATGGAGTTTCCGGACCTCGGGGCTCACTGTTCCGAGCCGAGCTGTCAGCGCTTGGGTGAGGGGCGGAGCGGAGGGGGGGCGGGGCCGGGTGGAGAGAGGCTTGGAGTTGTAGGTGGGGCGAAGGGTGAGCTTCGGGATCTGGAAATGCCAGAGAGGGGCGGGGCTCGAAGTTGGGGCGGTGTCAAAGGAGGTGTGGCTAAGAATAGTGCACTAGGGCCGGGGCGGTTTGTTGCAAATAAGGTGGCATTTTTCCTGAGTGGAAGGCTGAGTGACCCGGAACGACGTCGAGGTCCCGCTGGACCTGCAATCTGACCCACTCCCTGCAGATTTTCTGCCGCTCAAGTGCGACGCCTGCTCGGGCATCTTCTGTGCAGATCATGTGGCCTACGCTCAGCATCACTGTGGATCTGCTTACCAAAAGGTGAGGGGACGGTCTGAGGGTAATAGCGGGTGAGTGGAAGATGCATGCAGAATCCCCGGAATCCCCCTGCCTCCCGTTTCCAATCCTATATTCTTTTTGAGTCTCCGTGCTGGGGACATTGTGCGTTTGTGGAGGGCATATCCAGGTTCTCTCAGGACCAGAGATTTGGTTGAACGGGAGTAGGTTACAGACTGAGCTCTGCTCCTTAACTATAGGATATCCAAGTACCTGTGTGCCCACTTTGTAATGTGCCTGTGCCTGTGGCCCGAGGGGAGCCCCCTGACCGTGCGGTGGGAGAGCATATTGACCGAGACTGTCGCTCGGATCCGGCACAGCAAAAACGTAAGGTAAGGGTTGGAGGGGTTAGCCATGACCCAGCCGGGGGTAAGGATGCCTGGAAACCTGAACAGCTCTTATGAGGGGGCTGGGAAAGGGGGTCAGAGTCTCAGCAAAAATAAATCTTCTCACTCAACCTCAGATCTTCACCAATAAGTGTGAACGCTCTGGCTGTCGGCAGCGGGAAATGATGAAACTGACCTGTGAATGCTGTGGCCGAAACTTCTGCATCAAGCACCGTCATCCACTGGACCACGATTGCTCTGGGGAGGGGCACCTAACCAGCCAGGCAGGGTAATTGCAGCTGAGTCCTCACTTTGCCTTTGAGACCATCCTATCCTTCTGGAACTGACTCAGCCTTTATCACAAGTTGAGAAGCTTGAACCTTGTCCCCTTTGGCTAGGGAATCTTAGCTTTTCAAGTGCATCTTTTTCTAGACTGGAGGAACTCCCCTCTTGAGTCTCTGGGTGGCCTGGGGGGATGCCAAGAGTGTCTCTTCCCTATAGACTTGCTGCCATTTCCAGAGCACAAGGTCTGGCTTCTACTACAAGCACCATCCCCAGCCCGAGTCGGACTTTGCCTTCATCTACCTCTCCCAGCAGGTAGGCCTGCCCGTTTCTCCTTTCCCTTCTTTGCTTTCGCATCTTTGACCTCTGCCTCTTGAATGTTTGTTTGCCTTAGAGCCACAGCCCAGTCTCCTCCATGGACAGCTCCTCCAGTGATTGCTTTGCAGAATGGCTTGGTGAGTTGGGCAGAGGTTAGAGGGACAGAAACAAACCCACACAGAGAATCCCAAGGCAGCTGGTCTTGTTTCTCCTTTTTCAGAGTGAGGATGAGGCTCTGCAGCGAGCCCTGGAACTGTCTCTGGCAGAGACCAAACCCCAGGTTCCAAGGTACCTACTCTCTGGTGAAAGAGGGTGGGATGTGGGCAAGGGCTCTGTTTGGAAGGAGGTAGGTGGGACCACTCTGACCTGATGCAAAATAATAGTTAAGAACTTGGGCTCAAAATCAAGTTTATTAACTATATGAACTTTGACAAGTTCTTTAACCCATTAGGGTCTTAATTTCCTCTACAAAATGAGACAATCCTAATCCCTACCTATAGAGTTGTACAGATATTAAGATAATACTCAGAAGTGCTCAGCACAGTGATGCCTCGCAGATGCTCACATTTTAGATGTTATTATCTAACTTAAGCTGTTCCTCCCTCCCAGTTCTCAGGAGGAAGAGGACTTAGCTTTAGCACAAGCACTGTCAGCCAGTGAGGCAGAGTACCGACGGCAGCAGGTATGACGCTGGAGAGGGGGTCCTGCACTGGGAGGCAGTAACGAGTTTGGCGGGGGGCGGGGGGGGGAGTCTTCCAAGTGGTCAAGAGTTTTAGAGTGGTAGTTACTCTTTTGTTTCCAGTGTAACTTCAGCCTATGCTAAGCTCAGAAATGAGGACTGTCCCCTCATTTCCTTGACATCGCACCATCTTCCCCTCCTTCCCTTCTCCAGGCTCAGAGCCGCAGCTTGAAGCCATCCAACTGCAGCCTGTGCTAGGGCCTTGGGCTTGGGGAGGGAGGCTCAGCTGAGGAGGACTGTGGCCCTCACACCTCCAGGGTCCACCATGAGAGGGGGCCAGGAGCAGCCTGGAACGAAGATGAGGAGTGACACGGAGGCCGCCTCCAGGGAGCATCAGGAACAGCTTGTGGAACCGGGCCTGCAGAAGACCCTGCTGGCCTCTCCAGCTACGTGGGACAGTGGCTGTGAACTGTTCCCTGGTTGGGCCCTTCAGAGGATGCTGGCCAGGCCCCGCATCATGTCATCCCCCTTACCCTGGGGCTGCCCGCTGCGTAGGGGGAAGGGAGGGGCCTGGAAAGAATAAAGGATGTTGCAGTCAATACAACATCCAAGTGGTTGTGTTTCTTCTCTTCTCCAACCCAAACTAGAAGAGTCCTGTCAAGAATGCTCACTTGACTTAGGGTAGAGGCCCACTGCAGTATGCCATGCCACAGAGTCACAGTGATCCTAGCTCAGTCCACACTTTTATTTCCCTCACTGTAGCTAGCACCCCAAGACCAGGACGAAATATGCCAAAGAAGACAGATACATCTTATCCCCCTCTGAGTTAACCTTTGGGAGGAAAGTGACCACTACTTCTGTCACCATGCCTTAGTCTGGGGTTTGATGTCTTCAGAGGCTTCCTCCTGTCCCCGCTGCTGCAGCTGCCACATGTCAGCATATACCCCACCTCGGGACAACAGAGCTTCGTGCCTGGGGCAAAGAGGAAAGTATAAAGTCCGACCATCAGTTTTACTCCAAGAGTCCTCATCATCAGCCCACAGAGATGACAGGATTGGTGAGGGACAGGTCTTCCAGAAACCCCTGGGACTCCAAAACTCTTTCCTGGGCCGATTCAGAGGCCCTGCCCTGTTCATCCTGCTGCATCCCTTACCGTCCTCTCTCCACAATGCAGCCATCCCTGATGACGAGGATCTGGTCAGCATGGACCACAGTTGAGAGCCTGAGAAGTCAGAGGTCAGTTACCCACCACGCCACCAAAAGTGGGCCCCGCTGCCTGTTGCCCTGGTTTCGTACCTGTGTGCCACTATGATGGTGGTGCGGTTGGCGCAGACTTTGGCTAGAGAAGCCTGGATGGCCCTCTCATTGGATGTATCGAGTGCCGATGTTGCCTACAGAGAGGACCTGGATAAAGCTGCCCCTGCCACCCAAATCCCCAGTGGGAGGAGGATGTAAGCTGCTAGTTGAGGCCTCGGGAATCAAAAAGAACTTTGTTTGCACTTGAGAACTATAATGTGTTTTATGAAACATGGATTCATGATAGAGAAGCCTGGATGGCCCTCTCATTGGATGTATCGAGTGCCGATGTTGCCTACAGAGAGGACCTGGATAAAGCTGCCCCTGCCACCCAAATCCCCAGTGGGAGGAGGATGTAAGCTGCTAGTTGAGGCCTCGGGAATCAAAAAGAACTTTGTTTGCACTTGAGAACTATAATGTGTTTTATGAAACATGGATTCATGATATCTCTCCTAGATAGAACACAGCCCAGCAGGA